CCCCCCCCCCAGCATCCCACCTTTAACCAGAGTCCAGGAAATTAAAGTTATAAGCTTTTAAAAAAGAAATGATCAGAACTTTTATCATTTGAATATTTCTAGTTGATGAATAAATAAACATTTTTGAATAACATTTCTAAAATAAGGATAAGAAATAAACAAATTTCGAAAATGGCGTAAAATCTATAAACTTATAAGTGAATAAAAAGTTTGACTTTATTCATTACGAATAGTTCATTTATTATTATTGATGTTTTTTTTCCACATAAATCAGCGAAATATAAATGTTATTTGCTTTGGAACGAATAAGAAACCTTTTAAAAATACCAAAGATCATAAAATGCAGAGTAAAAATGCGGGAAACATTTTTTCTCAACATTGAATAAAAAAATTAAATTTTTTCTCTAACATATTTTTTGCAAGTTACTTATAGAAAGTGGTTTAAAAGCAACGCCAACCCATCCCTAAACCAAACAAGAATGTAAAACTAAAATTCTAAACAATATTATTGAGAAAGAAAAGAAAATAATAAATACTAAACTAAACCTAATCCTACTTCAAGATGATTGAAAATAGGTTTTTCATTCTAGTTCATCACACTGCACACACAGGGGGGGGGGAGGGGGAAAGAAGGAAAAAACAAAAGCTATTAAGAGAGGCCGGAGAATTTTACTTTATAAAATATATAAAAACACTCCCTGATGAACCTTATCCTAACTATCATTCTGTTTTTATTTTACCAAAATACATGCATTTTCGACATTCGACACTCGACATTCGAAACTCAACATTTGACACTTGACATTAAACACTCAACATTCGACACTCGACAGTTTATATCAACGGTTTTCCGTAAATCGTCGATCGTCTTGTCATGTTTTAATTTTTTGTCTCGTATCAGAAATTATTAAATTGATTTACTGGTGTCTTGTAGCGTTAAGTTAATAAACTTTTTTTTGATTGTTGGGTTTTTATTTTAATATAGCTATTTTTTTTAGTGCACTCGATCCAATAAACAAAAATTTTCGCAGATTATTTCTAGTTGGTCGATTTTTTTAAATCGTAAATGTCGACATTTTTAATAATCTAATTTTTCCAAACTATTAATTTTTTTTTCGGCACGAGGAGGTCGAAATGAGGGATGGGGGGGGGGGAGAAAGAGGAGGGAGGAACTGGTAAATGTTAATCCTTCATCTGTAATTCTTTTTCTGGCACCAACTCTGATTCTCTTCTCCTAACTCTAATAAATACCAATCAAGAAACCAAATAACTCAACCGAACACCCCAAACAAGATTAAATCTTTTTGTTTGGAAAAAAAATTTAAAAAGTCTAAGAAGTCTTAAATCTTCAAACATAGGGCTACTAAAGTAAAGATAGGTTTGCTAGGAAAAACTTCAATACCAAGGTATGGTCTTGTGGAGACAGTTTAAAGTTGACCCGGTCCAAATATATAGTCAATAGAACATCTTCTATATCTGTAGAAGTAGAAATTGAGGAATCAAATAAAATAACACCCAAATTTTTTTTTGTATTTTCTAAATTTCATTGCAGAAAGATACAAAATTTGTTTTATTTATTTAGTTACTTTCCAAACCCTGTTAACAACATTTTTATGAAAGCCATTATAGTACACCTAATTCTTTTCTATTTGAATTGAAATTCGTTCACAATAGCTTTAAGGTTCATTATAATGGATTATGAAGTTTAAACCCGTATCAATAAATAAAGAATTCAATAAAGTTTTTTTTTATAATGATAAGTTTTTTAACCATTTGAACAATGATACAAATTTATCAAAAGACTAAAAGCTGTTTTATTTGTAACATTTAGTGCTTCCTGAGGTATTGGGGATATTCTGATCGAAAGATTTTTAAATATAGGAACGTTCCCGTTGTTTCCCCCAATTTTTTTATTAACTGCTTTATATATACAGATAGATATAAGAACGTTATGTTTGAACTTTTCCATAGTAACTTTAGTTATTTTTTTCTACCTAACAATTAAAAAAAACATGAGCTGTGCATAGGGTTTCGATATTTGTACGTTCCCCGTCATATTTATGTTTAAAGATTAATTAATTGACAAAGATTGTTTGCGTTTATCGATGAATAAGTTTGTATATAAACAAAATCAATATTCTTTTCTTAAGCTGAGCATACTTTTATGTGAACTCTTTAAATGTATTTTTGTTGGGTAAATATATTGGTACTAAAATTAAATAACATGGTGTTCATTTTACTAATTAATTATATTTGATCTATAATTAGTTTTTATTTTGAAAAGGCTTTAACGCCATAACACAAATAGTAAGGGTTTCATTTGAAAGGCCTCCAAAAGACTCCCTTTAAAAAGTGGTGAAACCTTTTAACTTTTATTTGTTCAAAAATAAATGCATTATTTACTCTCAGAAAAAATCTAAATCATTTGAAAGTTAAATTGGTGTTTTAACTCTATAAAGAATGGGGGGTAATTTCTCTCTTGATATTATGTACTTTCGATCCAGTAATTTCTCTCTTGATTTCGAATAATTATTCCGATGAATAGTAAAGAGAATTATTTGATATCAATAAAGTATTTTATAAAAACCCAATATCCAATGCACCCAGCTAGCTGTATCAAGAGGATCTTGTATAGGAAATAATTGCCAATACAAAAGCTTGAATGGCCTGGCCTGTAAACAACTATTATACTGTTATATAAATAATTAATCTTTAGCTTATTTATAATTTATATACCTACAGGATGTCTAAGAAAAAGTTGTTGATACTTGTTGTCTTTACAGTCTCATCCTTTGTGGGTAACCCTGTATAAAATAAAATAAAATATTACTAAAGAATTTGCTGGGTTACTGATAAATGTTGCCAATTTGTAGAAACAAAATACGGGGGCATTGTATGAACAATTGGCTTGGTTCATCAATATACCAAGGCGGAGAAAAGCTGCCTGCTGACTAACGACTGAACTTGTTTACAAATTATTCTTCATGTTTTTTGTTGGTTTAAAAATATGTTTATATAAAAGTATATATTTTTTGAAACATCTCATCATTTTGAACTTTTTGGTAAATTTTTGAACACGGATATTTTATCAAATGTGAAAGGGAAACCGTAATTTGTTTGGGGGGGGGGGGGTTAAAAAGAATCTCAAAGATTAAAGTAATATATACTGTTAAGTGCATAATTAATCTTGTATATAATTAAAAAAGCTAGTAACGAGCCCACTTTTTAGATTTAATAATAATCAATGTTCAAAAATTACAGAAATTTTTGGTCTGCATGCAAAGTACAGGTTTTATTTTAGCAAACCAATCGCTAACTTTTAGTAATTTTTGGAATAAGTTCTTTTTAAGAATGCAAGTTAAGACAGACAATAGATTTTTTTAATCTACAGAAAATAGTTGTAAGTTTTGAATACAGAGAGGTACAAAACACTGCTAGGCTCAAACACTAAATCTATTTATCTGTATTTATGTCATAGCTACCATTAATATATAAACTGTAAATTATATATTCATTTACATAGTTAAGGGGTCCGGGGTATCTTTGCCTGCATACAATGTAACGATATTGTAACGTCAAATATATAAAGAGAGAGAGAAAAATTTCTTGGGTTCCATGCAACACAGAGGTTCAGGACTAACTGAACTTCGTTTCTACACAGGGATAGAAACTAGAGACCGGGATATAAACTCCACTACACAGGGATATAAACTAGACCGGGATATCAACTCCACTATACCGAGATATAAACTCCACTATACAGAGATATAAACTCCACTATACAGAGATATAAACTACACCAGGATATAAACTCCACTATACAGATATAGAAACTAGACCGGGATATCAACTCCATTACACAGGGATATAAACTAGACCGGGATATAAACTAAACCGGTAAATAAACTAGACCGGGATATAAACTAGACCGGGATATAAACTAGACTGGGATATAAACTAGACTGAGATAAAAACTCCACTCTACCGGGATATAAACTTCACTACACAGGGATATAAACTAGACCGGGATATCAACTCCACTATACCGAGATATAAACTCCACTACACAGGGATATAAAGTAAACCGGGATATCAACTCCACTATACCGAGATATAAACTCCATTATACAGGGATATAAACTAGACCGGGATACAAACTGGACTGGGAAATAAACTAGACGGAGATAAAAACTCCACTTTACCGGGATATAAACTCCATTATACCAGGATATAAACTCCACTAGACTGAGATATAAGTTCCACTATACCAGGATATGAACTCTACTAAACTGAGGTATAAACTTGACGGGATATAAACTCCATTATACTTGTAGCACAAATCGTATATATATATTCTGTAAAACTTCAGTATGTTAAGGATTTAATGTTATAAACATTAGACATAATGACATTGTTCATTAAAACTGCGTTTCAATTGAATACTTAGCTTAATTCATGTGACATACTTAAATTATGCTATAAACATGTGAGGAGATAGCTTAACTGCGTTATATCTATTCTCTCTAATCTTATAAATACTTACATCAAACTTTAACTGTGCGATAAATATGTAATAGGATTGTCTTAATCATGTGATATACATAACATCATAGGAATTATAACGACGTCAATTCAAGTTAACTTGTGACATAGGATATTAAATAAAGCTTAGTTTTAGAGTAACTTAATAGTGTTATCTGCATGAGAGTAAACCAGAAGCCCTGTTTTTATGAACAAATGAGATCCTTCTCATTAATTTTGGATTGATATATAGCTAGCTTGTTGTATATCTAGGCTTGTGCCCTTGTGTGGCATTTAGAGCACTGTATTAGTAGCTGGATTTTGATAGCTTCACTTGTGTCCCTGTGAGGCATTAAGAGCCTGGATTAATAGCTTGTTGGATAGCTCCGCTTGTGTCCCTGTGTGGCATTTAGAGCCAGGCGGGTTGTTTCCTAGTTGACTTTGATAGCAGACGGATTGTACCTGGATAGATACATTTTGGGAACTTGTTTTGGAGTAAGTGTTTACTACATAATGAGATAAAAACTAGACCGAGATATAAACTAGACTTGGATATAGACTAGACCGGGATATAAACTAGACTGCAATATCAAATAGACCGGGATATAAACTCCACTAGACTGAGATTTTAAATTACATCGAGATATAAACTAGCCAGGGATATAAACTAGATCAGGATATAAACTTCACTGAACCTTGGATATAAACTAGACATACGGAGATATAAACTAGCCAGGGATATAAACTAGATCAGGATATAAACTCCACTAGACCTGGATATAAACTAGACATACGGAGATATAAACTAGACCGGATATGAACTAGACTGGGAAATGAACTAGACCAGAAAATAAAATAGACTAGGATATAAACTCCACTAGACCTGGATATAAACTCCACTAGACCTGGATGTAAACTCCACTAGACCTGGATATAAACTAGACATACGAAGATATGAAACTAGACCGGAAATAAAATAGACTCGGATATAAACTAGACCGGAATAGAAACTCCATTATACCAAGATTTATTCTAGACCGTGATAAAAACTAGACTGGGAAATAAACTCCACTATTCCGGGATATAAACTCCACTATTCCGGGATATAAACTCCACTATGCCGGGATATAAACTGATTCTGAACCAGACCGAGATATAAACTAGACCGCGATATTAACCCCACTATACTGGGATGAACTGAACCGAGATATAAACTAGACCAGGGTATAATATTTTCTTTACAGGAAATAAACTCATCTTTACCATGATATAAGGTGAAGAACATATGCCAACCTTAGATATATTGTTTTAATTTGTTATTATACATTTATTTTTCATCATAAAAAGTAAATGTAGAATGATAACGAAAAAAGACGTAAAGGTGGAATTATAAACAGATTTGATGGATAATTTAATTTAAAGCGCCGCTAACAACAAATCGATCCATCAATATACTGTGAAGGTGTTTAATAGATTTAGGTTAAAAATGCCCAAATATACAGAGAGTGTTAATACTGCTGGCAGGCCTTATCTCATCGTTTTCTAATATTCATCAAACTTTAGTCAATCTATTCATTCATAAATTCATATTCTTAATTCATTGATTCATTGATTTATTAATTCAATCATTCATTAATTCATTGATTCGTTTATAATGAAATTCATTAATTTATGGATTCATTAATTCATTGATTAATTGATTCATTAATTCATTAATTTATTAATTCATGGATTCATTAATTCATTGATTAATTGATTCATTGATTTATTAATTCATTAATTCATGGATTCATTATTTCATTGATTCATTGATTTATTGATTCAATCATTCATTAATTAATTGATTCGTTTATTATTATATTCATTAATTCATTGATTCAATGAATCATTGATTCATTGATTATTAATTCATTGATTCATTGATTCAATGATTCAATGATTCATTAATTCATTGATTATCAATTCATTGATTATCAATTCATTGATTCATTGATTCAATTATTCATTCATTCAATGTTACATTGATTTCTTAATACATTAATTCATTCATTCATTATTTCATTGATTCATTGATTTATTGATTCAATCATTCATTAATTAATTGATTCGTTTATTATTCTATTCATTAATTCATTGATTCAATGATTCATTAATTCATTGATTTATTAATTCATTGAATCATTAATTATGTGACTTTTTAATTCATTAATTCATTAATCCGTTTGTTCAAAAATTAATTTATTCATTTATTCAATGATTTCTTTATTTTTTAAATTATTGATTTATTAATTCATTGATTCATCCTTTTATAGATTCATCCTTTCATTCAATTATTGATTAATTTATTCAATAATTCATTGATTAATAAATTCATTCATTTATTTATTCTTTAATTCATTGATTCATCAGTTCCTTGATTTATTAATTTATGCATTCATTAGTTCATCCTTTCATTAATACATGCATTTAATATAATTCATTTATAAATTTATTGAATCAATTATTCAGTATTTTATCAATATCATTTTACTAGCATTTTTAAATGTTTAATGAGAAGAGTTTCATGACAACTTGACATTGTGTTTATTTGCTTATTATTTGCTTGAATTATTTACCTTGACTTCTAGACTTTTTTTTCTCAACACAAATCTAAAATAATGTTTCTGTTTGTTTTTCACGTTAAAAATTCCGACTACAGAATTAAAATCGAGAAAATTGTACATGATGTCTTAAGTCAGGCACGTTTAGGTAATTTAAAAAAAAATGTTGTAAGCCATCAACGCCCATCATTTATATAATGTCATTGTTGGCAATTTATCTTTCTTCAATGATCAACAACATTTGCAGGACAAAAACTATTTCAATGACATGATAATTCAATTATTTTTTATTTCTGATAAACAAAGACACAACCAAGAATGTAAGGCAAGGAAAGTTTATTGCGGTCGTGTATACTCTGCGTACATATTGAAACCAGTTCTCTTTGGGCGGAATTTTTAAACAAGAATAAATGCATCAGTGTTCGTTTAGTATCCGAGGAGGTTAAAAGCATTAAATTTTGAAAATTTTGATAGTTCACATTATAGTTTCCTATGACCAGAATATTTCATCGATTTTTTATTTGAAAGATGGATCCCATTTCAGGCTTCGACATCCGTCTTGTGTGCACTTCTGAAATAACTTTCCTTGCCTTACAATCCTTGGACACAACACAGGCAACAAAAGACGAAAAATGTAAATATATTATTTCTTTATAAATCATAAAATAATAATAATAATA